CTATGATGTCAATTACAGGCCTCTCTCATCTTTTTAAGTGGGAGAACTTGCACAATTGGTGACTGACTAAATACTTATTTTCCCCACTGTAGTAATGACTCAATTTGTTGAAAGTCATAGAGTAGTCTGAGTAGTTGCTCCCAATCAAGATTGCTCATTAGCATGCCAGATTTCCAGCTGCTTAGAGTGGCATACAGAGAAAAGCTGTGAATATAAAAGTTTGATTTATTTTTCAGAAGTGACTTGAAGTTAGTGTGTAGTAAATACATTTGGAAATCAATGTAAAAGTACTCAGATTGTGTGAAAATCAAATTTGATTAAAAAACGATCCAAACTGCAAAGGCATTTTTTATTGTATGTAAAACATTAAAATATGCATTTTTGTTTTCAGTGTCAAAGCACAACAATGTGAGAAGGGCTGATAATTTTAAATAAAAGCATAAAATGAACAAATATACTTAAAGCATTAATTTAACAAATTTACCTCCATGTTTTGTAATTTAATTAGTCCTATTTTTCCAGCTTAGTTCCATTAAAATGTTTATTTAATTTACATTTTGCTGTTTAAAAAAAATCTTACTTGTACATGCATTTGTGTCATTTAGTGTATTATGTGATTATCTTTTAATTTCTCACGTCTATTTCCATGTGCTTTTACATTTTTCTGTTCCTTTGATTTTTAATAAAATGTATAAACATTTTCGACACAAATGCATGCACAAGTATGTTATGACCCCTTCCTTTAAACAAGGGGCAGCAACATGACAACCACAATAAATAGACAAGAGTCACTGCAAAGGTGTATAAAAAGTTTTATTTTTTTTTAACTCTGCTCCAAAAGGCTGTACAACTGTGGGGGAGAAAGGGACCATTAGGTGTGGTGCCAAACAAAAGAAACAAGCAAAACAAAACAGGAAACTTTGTTTTCTTGAAAAATCTAATTAAAATGTTGATACTTTTGCTTCCTGAATCTTTCTGTAATACGTTTGCTATATTGAATGTTTCTTTAATTGTTCTGAATTCCTCCATCATGTCTCTTCTTTGTTTGTCATATTTTTTACATTTTAATATTACATGTTCTATTGTTTCTATAATTCCACAATATTGACAGTTTCCATTTTCATGTTTTTTTATTATAAAGAGTGTGCTGTTAAGTCCGGTATGTCCCATTCTCAATCTGGTTAATAA